GGGGAGGGGCAGGTGGGTTAGTGCATGGGGTGAGACGGGAAAGCAGGTGGTTAGTGCACAGGGACAAAGGGGCAGCGGTGGGTTAGTGCACGGGGGGAGAGGGAAGTCAGAGTGGTCAGCGCACAGGGACAGAGGGGCAGCAAGGTGGGCTAGTGCACGGGGTGAGAGGGGGGACAGGGTGGTTAGCGCACAGGGACAGAGGGGCAGCAAGGTGGGTTAGGGCAAGGGGAGGGGAAGCCAGGGTGTTTAGTGCACAGGGACAGAGGGGCAGAGAGGTGGGTTAGTGCATGGGGTGAGACGGGAAAGCAGGGTGGTTAGTGCACGGACAAAGGGGGGCAAGGTGGGTTAGTGCACGGGGGGAGAGGGGAAGTCAGAGTGGTCAGCGCACAGGGACAGAGGGGCAGCAAGGTGGGTTAGTGCACGGGGTGGGGGGACAGGGTGGTTAGCGCACAGGGACAGAGGGGCAGCAAGGTGGGTTAGGGCACCGGGGAGAGGGGAAGCAGGGTGTTTAGTGCACAGGGACAGAGGGGCAGAGAGGTGGGTTAGTGCATGGGGTGAGACGGGAAAGCAGGGTGGTTAGTGCACAGGGAAAGGGGCAGCAAGGTGGGTTAGTGCACGGGGGGAGAGGGGAAGTCAGGTGGTCAGCGCACAGGGACAGGGGCAGCAAGGTGGGTTAGTGCACGGGTGAGGGGGGACAGGGTGGTTAGCGCACAGGGACAGAGGGGCAGCAAGGTGGGTTAGGGCAGGGGAGAGGGGAAGCCAGGGTGTTTAGTGCACAGGGACAGAGGGGCAGAGAGGTGGGTTAGTGCATGGGTGAGACGGGAGAGCAGGGTGGTTAGTGCAGGGAGGGGCAGCAAGGTGGGGGCACGGGGGGAGGGTCAGGTGGTCAGCGCACAGGGACAGAGGGGCAGCAAGGAGGGTTAGTGCACGGGGTGAGAAGGGAGACAGGGTGGTTAGCGCACAGGGACAGAGGGTGGCAAGGTGGGTTAGGGCACTGGGGGAGAGGGGAGGACAGGTGGTTAGCGCACAGGGACAGAGGGGCGGCACAATGGGTTAGTGCACGGGGGGAGAAGGAAGTCAGAGTGGTCAGCGCACAGGGACAGAGGGGCAGAGAGGTGGGGTTAGTGCATGGGGTGAGACGGGAAAGCAGGGTGGTTAGTGCACAGGGACAAAGGGGCAGCAAGGAGGGTTAGGGCACGGGGTGAGAAGGGAGGACAGGGTGGTTAGCGCACAGGGACAGAGGGGCGGCAAGGTGGGTTAGGGCACCGGAGGGAGAGGGGAAGCCAGGGTGGTTAGTGCACGGGGGGAGAAGGGAAGTCAGAGTGGTCAGCGCACAGGACAGAGGGGCAGCAAGGTGGTTAAGGGCATGGGGTGAGGAGGGGAGGCAGGCTGGTTAGCGCACATGGACAGAGGGGCAGCAAGGAGGGGTAGGGCAGGGGTGAGAGGAGGACACACACAGGAGGACATCGGGGATAACGGTCTACATCAGGGGGGGAACCAGCTCACCGTGCGCAGGCCGGATGAACTATGTGGAGGCCCCAAACTGGAGCAGTGTAAAGTCCCACACTCCACTGCGGTTGTGGTATTATTGTGGCATAAGGACCATGGCCCTTTTTGTAAATAGGGGAGAGAGGGAGGCGGGTTTAGGGGGGGAGAGTCAGACAACACGTGTCGTGAAGCATGTGCATGGCAACCAGAGTTGGGATGTGCTCGCGGTTCGTTGTGCGTCAAGTCCAAGTTACAAGACATGCTAGGAGGCACGGCTCGGGTTGACGGCAACATAACGATACAACTCACCGTTTAGGCTGCGCCGTGCCCCCCGGGCCGGGGCTCGCGTCGCACGGCTCGTATCGACTGCCGAAGATCTCAAATTGTGCACGTTGGAGCCCACTGAAATTCCGGGAGACGCAATGTCGGGAGGCGAGACTGCTGTCTGAGGTGTTGCTGTCCCCGTCTGTGCCCGAGTTGCAGGCGAACCAGTCATGGCCGCCGACGCAAGATCATCATCAGTCTGTTCCTCCGAGGGTCGCCGCCACTCGTGTAGGATGTTGTCGACCCAACACCAGTCCATCGGACCCAGTACCCGGTCCCTCCGTCCGCGCCGCACTCTCGTGATATGACGCACACGCGTGACAAAAGCGCGCACGATCCGGTCCATGCAATTGTTCCAATGTATTACTGCTAGAGCCACCCTCGCGTCATAGCTTCCTTGAAACCTGTTTCTTTTTGGGGCGTACTTCAGGATGAGCGAATGAAATGACTCATTCATGGAACTCGTAGCGCCCTCCACAATGCAAGCCACCTTGGCTATACTAAAGTTCCTACGACACCAATCCCTCACTGCCAAGTGTGTAGCGGAGTTCCGCTCGTATATAGCGCACTCAGGACCCCAGTTCTCCGACACGCATTTTGGCGTTGCACCTGCCCGTGCACCACACCGTGAGTGATCCCCTGCCCAGTGGTCAGCACACAGGCACAACTCCTCCGATACCTCCTCGGGAGTCGGAGTGTTCCCGTCAGCCGACCGTGCCCCGCTACGCAGCATACAATGATAAAAGTGCACGCCCAACCTGTCCGCCACGGTGTGCACCTTTTCGCCCCCCCGTGGTGCCCCGCTGTCTTCCCCACCGGCAGCCGACCCTCTACGCGTCCGTCTTCTTGGGGCTCGCCGACCCCAACGCCTGCCGCTCTGCTGCTGGGTCCCCGCTGCCGGATCCACGTTCTCGTCTGCCCCACCTCCCTGTCTGTTGTTTTCCTCTCCCTCCACATCCATGTCGCCACCGCCCATGTGGGCTTGGTTGCCTGCACGCACAAAATCAGAGCGCATGTGATTGGCCGCTCACATGAGAACCCGATCGACTGCAAGATGAACTCAATAACCGATTTGAATGATCACGCACATCCGTTCATAGCCGTTTCTCTCCACACAGAAAGCTCTACTACATATCACCTGGGTTTGTATTTGGTACTTGATCGTCTTCCATCATGAAGTGACGCCTCTCCCCGATACCGTTCCATGCTTGGACAAGCAACATCGATGCGTGCGAGTGGGGCCGTATCCCCCGCACTGGATGGACGTCACCATCCCACAATTCCTCCACATCGGACCATCTAACCATAGCGTCCGGCATCCTCTCCGTACCCCCCTCAGCCATGCCTCCATTCCTGTCGCTTTCACTTTCCTCTGGCGCATCTCCTCCTACCGCCCCCGTCCCCTGCTCCCTTGGTACTTCCCCTCGTCCCGTGTTGTTGGCTGTCCTAACTCCACTTTCCAACCTCACTACTTGTTGCAGCTCTAGGTGCAAATACTTTGCATCCGACTCCTTCATGTCTTTGAACTCAAACGCACGCAAAAGACACACTGCGCGAATGATTTCCTTTTTCCCCGCCGATCTGCTCACCCCCCCACCGCCTCGGGAAGGATGCCCTAACCACTCTAACAGTTTTTTCACTGTGATTAGATATAGATCCTCACATACGATTGCCCCATCTACCGTGCCAGCCTTTCGGGTCGCGTCCTGCACCTTTTCCCTAAAGTTACGGACCACAGAACCACACTTATGCCACCAATCTACTTGGTGCTTCACACCTTGCTCGTTGGCGGCTCTACTATAAGTGTTTCCCTCATCCGTGACAATGCCCTCTAGCCCAAAACCACTATTCACTAACTCGTCCATGCCCTGGTTGAACGCTACCCTCTCTAGCATCACCGATGAGTCGTCATCCCTCCCTCACCTAGTGTTTTTACACATCATGATTTTTCGGGATTCACGGTCCATGAACGACACCGTGCACCATCTGGCTTCGCGAACATTCGACCAACGACCATCGATGCACAGCCATCTTCTATTTACTGGACGCTGTGACATGCTCACCCGAACCGCTTCCATACTGTTTTTGGCCTGCTCTATGATCGCACTCCATAGACCACTATCGCCACCCATGAAGCGGTAAAATGTTCCATGGCCTGGACGTGGAACACCCAAGCTGCGACATATCTCCCAAGTTTGTTGATACCCGATTCCTGCTAGGGCAAAGGCTCCCACAAGCTTATGCATCACTGGAGGGGTTCGTGGTCCAGGCTTACTCGATGGCAAATCGTCCCTTACCCTACTGGTCGACCACATCTCATCCTTTGCAGGACAAGATGTGCACATCCACAGCATTCCAAAACACGCCTACGACCTCTTCCATGATGCAAGCATCATCTCACCCTGACAGCCATTTTTCTGACAGTAACCCAACGCCCGGCCACAAAAGAAGGAAACCATCACCCTCGGATCAAGGAAACATAGCATGTCCGATGGAAAGTCGTCCCAGTTTGGATGGGATTTCCACCCTTGCGGCACCCGCCTTGGGGCCGGTCCCTCTTGTGGTGCTGATCTGCAAGTACGACACGGAATGACAGAACACGGTTGCGATGTACAGTGGCCAGAGTCGGACTCAGTTGCATGACAAAGCGGACGATACTCTAGGAGTTGCATTCCTCCTATTGATTGCGCACGCGAATATCTTAGGGTCCTCTCAAAATTGCCACCAGGATCCTAGAGCACTCACCCGTCATGAACATCGACCGCCTCGGCTGCATCGTTTGCAGATATCCCCCCATCTCCAAGACGTGCCCCCGTTTCATGGGACCCTTCTTGGACCTGCCCCATGGCACCAGATCCTTCAGCACTCTCACCCATATGCGAGCCACCCCCCCCCCCTAGCTGCCGGATCACGACCTTCTTGCCTCGCAGTACCGAGTAACCTCCCCCCCCTTGTCAGCGCATCATGGCAGCCTCCCCCCCCATTGCCATCTCCCCGCTGCTGTCCTCCAGTATCTGTCGCCGAACTGTCGTCCGACTCCTCCGACGTGCTCGCTCCCGCCGGCGCGGCCCCATCTACAGGAACATTGTCGCACGTTAGCACCGATGTCTGTCTCATCTCCCATTTCAACGACTTAACACGACCACTAAGTCATCCTAAAGACATCCACACACCTGTTGCTTGATGATTTACCCATCTTGATCCCTTGCGTGCGCCACCCCATCCATTCCCGTTGACCCTCCGCATACCACCCCTCCCCACCTCCTCCCAGGGTGGGAAGTCGTAATCCACACCAGCCAACTCTCTATTCCCGCGGTCCAGAATGTCATCCATCTTCGCCGCACCCCGGCCCATTCGTTTCCAGAACGTAGTGGACGAAGCCGCAAGATGTAGTTTCACCACCTCATTGGCTGCGTGCCCATGAGGTCCTGCGTTATGCACCAGCACAAACGAACCATTAGTTCCTTGTTTATTCCAACACACGTACCTTCACATATACTTTTTGACGAGTTGATGTACACACGTCAGCTCACCTGCATTCGCGGCAGCCTGCCGTAATCTTGCTGTTACGTTCGGGGCAGCGTGCATGTAGATTTTTAGTAGGTCGCTGAGTGTGGCCAAACGCGGCCCAGGCATGAGCACGCTCAACCCCATGCACAAGTAGCAGATGGGTGCTCGTAACGACCACTCTACATTGTGTTGGCGCACATCGTATGTTTGGCATGCCCGTGCTGCATTGCGGGTTGCCCGTCCCCCACAAGGCTCCCTGTACGAGCGCAGAAAGGGGGCAACATGTGCAGTTTGGTTCACGACATTGGTGATGGTTCTCATATTTCAACGCGGCCCAGTACCACAAGGGATCATCCACTCCTTGCACAACAGGTGCGCCCATTATATTTCACCCGTCACCAACAACCCAACTGTGGGGGCTGAGGCGTGGCACCACAAATGAATGATTGCGTAGTGGGCAACCCTCATTACATTGTCAAGGCTGTTCTCGTACCCTCACTTACCGACAGTCGGTATGCACATGTCTACTAGATCCCCCACGCTACCCGCCATGTGGGCTCGTTCCGCCCCGCCTCGCGCCCAACATTCTCGACACTGTCACCACCCTTCTGCCACACACACAGAGTAGTGAAGACAAGCATAGCCCATGTGGAACATTGCTTGCCAATTTCTATGGGGATGGGTTGAATCGAGGGATAGCAACTCCTCCTTGCCAAACATGACCCTCCAATATCCCCTTTCTCACCCTCCCAATCCACATCACATGAACACTTGCTCCCACCCTGCTCCGCAGCTGGCCCCTTGCTCCGCATCTCCCACCTTGCTCTGCATCTTGCCCTATCCATCTTGCTCCCCTCCTGCAACCGCGCACCCCACAGCCTAGCTCCTCATCACACCCCAGAGCATATCTACCGATGCTCCCTCTCGTAGGCTGCACTCTATCCAGCCTTGCTACAGTGGTCCCCCCGAGCCCTCTGAACCCTAGCTCCCCATTTCACCCCACACCCTATCCATCCATGCTCCCTTCGCTCTCCCCACTCTCTCCACCCGTTCCCCCTCTCACCCCACGGCCTATCTACGCCCCCACCGCTTACGCTATACGCCCCTATTCAGCCTTACTCCCATGGTCACCTAGCGCCCTCTGTACCGTCGCTTCCTATTTTACTCCATGCACTATGCAGCAGTGCTCCCCCACTCACCCCACAGCCTATCCAGAAACCGGGATGAGGCATAGCAAACCGGAAAAGGTGGGGGGGGGGGGGGGGGGGGGGGGGTTTGCTGAACAGGGAGATGTGGTGCACCTGGTTCTGTTGCAATGCATGATCAACCCAGAAGCACAACATCATGCATAATAAACATGCAACATGCCATGCTTGAAAAGCCCAATTCCCCCAGCCACTGAATTTCAGCCCCAGCATCATGCCATGGTAGAGTTTCGCGAGCTAAACTCGGTATGAGGCAATTGGCGAGAGAGAGGGAGGGAGCATTGTATCAGGTGGGGTGGGTGAGGTGGAGACATAGGGGTGCAAAGCTGTGGTGGTAGGCTGTGTGGTTAGATCCGGATTCTTGACACTACCGCGGATTTCCCAACTCCGGCCCAACTGGTTGGGTTCGCTTTGTCGTTGCCCGGCTGGAAAATCCATCAAATCTTGCGTGGCCTGTCCATTTTCCCAGCTTCCCCTATCTCCCCTCGCCCTATCCAACATGCACCCTGCGCTCTCAACGGGTATTTTCCAGCCGTGTTCTCCCGTTTAATCAGCACCCTACCCACACTTGCTCCCGTTCTCACCCCACACCCACTCCACTCTTGCTCAACCGGGCATACCACGGCCTATCCAGCATCCCTTACACTCTCACACCCCACGCCCTATCTAGCCTTGCTCCCCCTCTCACCCCGCGCCATATCCAGCATCCATTCACTTCTCACCGCACGCCCTATCCAGCCTTGCTTCCCCACTCACCCGACACTCTAAACTGCATTGCTACCCCTCTCACCCCCCGCCCTACCCAGCCTTGCTTCCCCGCTCACCCCACGCCCTATCCAGCCTTGCTTCCCCTCTCACCCCACGCCCTTTCCAGCCTTGCTTCCCCTCTCACCCCATGCCCTATCCAGCCTTGCTTCCCCACTCACCCAACACTCTAAACTGCATTGCTTCCCCTCTCACAACCCGCCCTACCCAGCCCTGCTTCCCCTCTCACCCCACGCCCTATCCAGCCTTGCTTCCCCTCTCACCCCATGCCCTATCCAGCCTTGCTTCCCCACTCACCCGACACTCTAAACTGCATTGCTTCCCCTCTCACCACCCGCCCTACCCAGCCCTGCTTCCCCTCTCAACCCACGCCCTATCCAGCCTTGCTTCCCCTCTCACCCCATGCCCTATCCAGCCTTGCTTCCCCACTCACCCAACACTCTAAACTGCATTGCTTCCCCTCACACCCCCCGCCCTACCCAGCCTTGCTTCCCCGCTCACCTCACACTGTAAACTGTCTTGCTTCCCCTCTCACCCCACGCCCTACCCAGCCATATTTCCCCACTCACCCCGCGCCCTGCCCAGCCTTGCTTCCCCTCTCTCCCCACACTGTAAACTGTCTTGTGTCCCCTCTCACCCCACGCCCTATCCAGCCTTGCTTCCCCTCTCACCCCACGACCTATCCAGCCTTGCTTCCCCTCTCACCCCATGCCCTATCCAGCCTTGCTTCCCCACTCACCCGACACTCTAAACTGCATTGCTTCCCCTCTCACCACCCGCCCTACCCAGCCCTGCTTCCCCTCTCACCCCACGCCCTATCCAGCCTTGCTTCCCCTCTCACCCCATGCCCTATCCAGCCTTGCTTCCCCACTCACCCGACACTCTAAACTGCATTGCTTCCCCTCTCACAACCCGCCCTACCCAGCCCTGCTTCCCCTCTCACCCCACGCCCTATCCAGCCTTGCTTCCCCTCTCACCCCATGCCCTATCCAGCCTTGCTTCCCCACTCACCCGACACTCTAAACTGCATTGCTTCCCCTCTCACCACCCGCCCTACCCAGCCCTGCTTCCCCTCTCACCCCACGCCCTTTCCAGCCTTGCTTCCCCTCTCACCCCATGCCCTACCCAGCCTTGCTTCCCCGCTCACCTCACACTCTAAACTGCCTTGCTACCCAGTCTTTCTTTCCCGCGCCCTGCCCAGCCCGACTTCCCCTCTCTCCCCACACAGTATAAACTGCCTTGCTTCCCCTCTCTATCCACGCCCCACCCAGCCTTGCTTCCCCGCTCACTCCACACTATAAACTGTCTTGCTTTCCCTCTCACCCCACGCCATATCCAGCCTTGCTTCCCCACTCACCCCACGACCTATCCAGCCTTGCTTCCCCTCTCACCCCATGCCCTATCCAGCCTTGCTTCCCCACTCACCCGACACTCTAAACTGCATTGCTTCCCCTCTCACCACCCGCCCTACCCAGCCCTGCTTCCCCTCTCAACCCACGCCCTATCCAGCCTTGCTTCCCCTCTCACCCCATGCCCTATCCAGCCTTGCTTCCCCACTCACCCGACACTCTAAACTGCATTGCTTCCCCTCTCACCACCCGCCCTACCCAGCCTTGCTTCCCCTCTCACCCCACGCCCTATCCAGCCTTGCTTCCCCACTGACCCAACACTCTAAACTGCATTGCTTCCCCTCACACCCCCCGCCCTACCCAGCCTTGCTTCCCCGCTCACCTCACACTGTAAACTGTCTTGCTTCCCCTCTCACCCCACGCCCTACCCAGCCATATTTCCCCACTCACCCCGCGCCCTGCCCAGCCTTGCTTCCCCTCTCTCCCCACACTGTAAACTGTCTTGCGTCCCCTCTCACCCCACGCCCTATCCAGCCTTGCTTCCCCTCTCACCCCACGACCTATCCAGCCTTGCTTCCCCTCTCACCCCATGCCCTATCCAGCCTTGCTTCCCCACTCACCCGACACTCTAAACTGCATTGCTTCCCCTCTCACCACCCACCCTACCCAGCCCTGCTTCCCCTCTCACCCCACGCCCTATCCAGCCTTGCTTCCCCTCTCACCCCATGCCCTATCCAGCCTTGCTTCCCCACTCACCCGACACTCTAAACTGCATTGCTTCCCCTCTCACCACCCGCCCTACCCAGCCCTGCTTCCCCTCTCACCCCACGCCCTTTCCAGCCTTGCTTCCCCTCTCACCCCATGCCCTACCCAGCCTTGCTTCCCCGCTCACCTCACACTCTAAACTGCCTTGCTACCCAGTCTTTCTTTCCCGCGCCCTGCCCAGCCCGACTTCCCCTCTCTCCCCACACAGTATAAACTGCCTTGCTTCCCCTCTCTATCCACGCCCCACCCAGCCTTGCTTCCCCGCTCACTCCACACTATAAACTGTCTTGCTTCCCCTCTCACCCCACGCCATATCCAGCCTTGCTTCCCCACTCACCCCCCCCCTACCAGCCTTGCTTCCCCTCTCAGACCACACTATAAACTGTCCTGCTTCCCCTCTGACCCCACGCACTCCCCAGCCTTGATTCCCGTCTCACCCCACGCCATATCCAGCCTTGCGTCCCTTCTCATCCCACGCCCTATCTATCCTTGCTCCCCCTCCCACCCCACGCCCTATCCAGCATCCCTTCACTTCTCACCCCGCGCCCTATCCAGCCTTGCTTCCCCACACCCCGCGCGCTGTCCACTCCCTAAGCACCTCCCCAACCGGTCCGTATGTAGACTTGCCCCCCCTCGCACCCCGCTCCCATTGACCATTGCTGCATCGCAAACTCACCCCGAACTCACCCACCCTTGATCCCTTTTTCGTCCCGCGTCCTACAAACGCAGTACACTAGCCTGTCCACTCTTGCGCCACTTCCCCAACCACACCCTGTTTACCATTCCTCCCCTTCTCACCCCACGTCCTGTGTGCCCGTGCTATCCCGCCCAACATTGGCTCTATGTGGCGTGGCCATCCCTCCCAACCCAAGCGCAGAGGACCCTGGCTATTCCCCCCAACCAATGCTGTAAATAGGGTGGCAAACCCTCCCACCCCAAGCTATATTTTCGGCAGATGGATACCAGTTGCGACCCTCCTCCCGTCCCTGCGCCCTCTCCCTCCGTTCCTCCTCCTCCATCGCAGCGTGCTTCTTGCCCTCTCCCCCTATCCGCCTGTCTATCCCCTGTGACAGCGCTGCTATTTTCCTCTCTCCGCCGCCCCCCCCCCCCCCCTCTCTCTCTCTCTCTCTCTCTCTCTCTCTCTCTCTCTCTCTCTCTCTCTCTCTCTCTCTCTCTCTCTCTCTCTCTCTCTCTCTCTCTCTCTCTCTTCCCGTCTTCTCTTTGCCCTCTCCGCAGTTTCGTGTTTCGCCTCGGCCTGTCGGCGTCCATCTGCCATTCCCTAAGAGCGCATTTATGCTTACAAGCTTTTATTAGATGTAGTGTCAGCTAGGGCGCGGGTCCACCTCCGCCCTCTTCCGGTGGGCTAAGCCCACGGCCGCGCGTCTTTTCTGTTCCTCCGGCGATTGCGGCACGCCGCGCCGCACACTAGCCGCACACACTTGCGATGCGGCTTTTCCGGGCGTCTTTTCTAACCTTATCCGCTCAGCCACGCTCCTGCCAGGTGGAATTGTCCAATATGGCGAGGTTACTTATGCTGCGGGAATCTGTCGGGCGCGTCTAGGTAGATACTGTTCTTGTCCCAATCTTGTCCAATGACAAGCGCGTGTAGTCTGAGTTACGCCTGGGCTATTGAGGGTGCTCCTCGCTTGTTTCTATATGGGCGTGAGACATACAGTTCCGAACTCTCACGTGTGGACGTCCACCTCTCCCTACCCATTCAATATTTGTTAGAATGTATTTCCAACATATCAAACCGCTCTCCACCTTGCCAAAGTTCGAACTTACTTGGTTATGTAACCGTATGTTCCACGCCCTGAGCGTGGTTGGTGCTGGTGTGCTCGCGAGCTGGCGAGGGGTGGTTGCAGCAATCCCTAGCGCGCATGAATGCTGGCGATGCACAGGTGATTTTGTCCTTTTCCGGCGGGCACATTTTATTGGGTTTGCATTTTGGTTTGCGAAGTTCGCACTCTCTCAAATCCCCCTGGGTGTTTCGTATTCCTGTTTCGCGAGTACTCCTTCGCGGCCAAAATGGGCCAGAAATCCCTGCAACCGAGCCTCCACCCAACCTCCTCCGAGCCTGGACCAGAGGGCGTTGACTTTCACGAGCTAATTTGGGACCTGGGCTTTAAGCGTATCTGAAGTGTAACACTACACTCAAGGAAAGTCGTATCGGGTACGCGAGTCAACGGAGGTTACACGAGGAGGTTGGACGAAAGAATACGAAAGAGCGAAGGGGCTCGAAGGGTCGCAACCGGAGGTTGCGATTGACCGTTGCGACTGCAAGGATGGTAACCGAACAAACAATCGAGTCGCTGTGCGACTCGATAACTGTTTCTTCAACTGTATTCTACAACTGCTTCATTTCTTTTTCTCTATATATTGCTGTATGCTTGTTTCTTTTAATCAATCACTTGCTCTCACATACTAGTGCAAGGGTTCAACTACTCAACACTTCCACTGCACTACTCAAGCATTCCATACAGGTGGGACTTAGTCTCTGAAAAGATCCTAGGGCTTTTCTCAGCCCAACAATATCAAAGGATGTTAGTATAGACAATATAGGTTTGTGCCTTAGAGGGTACAACACTCTAGGCTATATACCCCTGTACTCTCTCCTTCTATCCACTTCTTCAATTCTGATAACTACGGCATGTGGATGTATATGCAACTGGGCTGGCAGAGGCAGGGGGGGAGGTTGGCGTGTGTGGGAAGAGCGTGCATGTTGTGAGGGGAAAGCACGGCACTACTGAATACGTGGGGAGTGTTGAGTGACCCGCTGGGGTTGCCCTTGAGATCCTCGGGGAAGGGCCACAGGTGCAGAGCCTGGGGGGCTATAGGCGCACTTACCCGCTATTCAACAAGCCCTTTTAACCCAGTGGTTAGTGACTGGGTTTCTGACATGGTATCAGAGCCAAAGGTCTTGGGTTCAACTCCCAGTGCCAGCGCTGCAGAGGCGCTCGTGTCTTCCACCTATCCCAGCGGGGGGGGGGGTGTTGAGTGACCCGCTGGGGTTGCCCTTGAGATCCTCGGGGAAGGGCCACAGGTGCAGAGCCTGGGGGGCTTTAGGCGCACTTACCCGCTATTCAACAAGCCCTTTTAACCCAGTGGTTAGTGACTGGGTTTCTGACAGGGAGAACGGAGAGGGGGAGGAGTGGAAGAGATGCAAGGGAATGATGATGGGGATGAAAACTGATTGGTGAGGGCAAGCCAAGAATTTGAGATCTCTATAATCTTTGCAAACCCTCTCGTTCTAGGAATATTCTATGCTAGGAAGGTTGTAATTGCAAAGTTATTGGTACCTTCCTTGGGCTGGAAGCTTGCTCTCTAGTCAAGAAGTGTTGGACGGTGCTGAAACCGAGTGACTCTAAAGCGATTAGCATCCATCCCTCCATCCACCAACCAACCAGGGCCCACCCTACCGTCAATCTCCAGGCCCACCCACATGGCTATCCCGCGCGTTCCATCACACCAGCCCCCCCTTTCATCTCCCCCAAATCACGTGCAGAACGGGTACTTGCACTGAGCTTCCGAAAGAGTCCTTCATCGCTGCTCCGTGACAGATATCGCGTCACACATCTCCTCGTTGCCTCTCGACATCGTCACGCTTCGTCGCGATATTTGCGCGGCTACCCCGGCGTGACTGTAACGGGGTTTAGCAGGCCGTGGTCTTTTGCCAGCTCAGTCTTATTTCGTCGAAGAATTTTTCTACAGCACGTGAAAGTCGACAAGCTATCGTAGAGTTTGGTGTAACTGCAAGCGCGCGCACCTTTTAGTATACGCGCGAAGAATCAGCAATGCTCGTCTGCTAGTATCCGCGTTAATTATCGGCAATGCCCGTCTGCTAGTGTACGCGTTACAAGCCGACAATGGCCGGGGCGGAGAGTCGGCCGCCTCCCCGGCGGGTGCATTTGCAGCAGCAGCCGCTGGTGGTCACCACGACCGTTATCCAGGCCGCTGCCGTATTGATCATGGTGAGTTGCTAGACTCGGTGTTGATGTATCGAGTCTAGCCGCTCCAGGCCGCTGCGGTACTAATCATGGTGAGTTGCTTATAACAATGCTGATTATAACGAGTCCCGAAAAGCAGCAACGTGTCCCGAAAAGCAGCGATGGCGGTAACTAGTAACAGCGATTTTCAGGGCAATGCTGGTGTGCTGTTCACGGTAGCGGTGACCACCGGACAATCGAGCGCATTACGCTGAGGCAATGCACCGAGAAAACGGCACTGATTGCGGCAAAGTGATTAAGAACGGCGTGACTTCAACGAGTCGCTGTGAAATTTGTGCCTTTCGGGTCGACACAAGCCGCCGTTGACGGTCTCGACGAGTGTTGATCGGGCCGCCGCTGTTCCGATGGCGGTGAGCTGGCTGGGCGACATGGGAGCGGATCGCTGTGAGAGCTCAGGGATGCGGCGGTGCTCGGCATGGCGACGCGTGGGACACCAGCGGTGCTCCGCATCGACGTTCAAACCTACAGACGACGGCCGTGCTAACACGGATCGAGTCTGCTGGCCGTGCAAAACATTCAGAATAGCGCGACTGGCAACAATGATGCCTTGCAAAGGCGGCAACCGTGAGCGAGAGCGGAAGCGAAAGCTCCCCTTCTTGCCCTTCTTGCCCTTCTTGCCCTTCTTACCTCAGCACCCCTTCTTGCCGAAACACCCCCCTCGCTGCCACTCCCCCTTCCTCGCATCTCTTCCGTCTCTCATCTCCCCCCCCTCCCTCCCCCCCCCTTTCTCTCTCCTCCCCCCTCCCCCATTTCCCCCCTCCCCCCCTCCCGGCAGTACATCATGGTGTCGCGCCATCTCTCCAGCATCGAACAGATCGCAGTCGCCCTCACAGAGAGGTGAGCGATGAGGGGCGAGCAGCCCTCGCAGAGAGGTGAGCGATGAGGGGCGAGCAGCCCTCGCAGAGAGGTGAGCGATGAGGGGCGAGCAGCCCTCGCAGAGAGGTGAGCGATGAGGAGCGAGCAGCCCTGGCAGAGAGGTGAGCGATGAGGGGCGAGCAGCCCTCGCAGAGAGGTGAGCGATGAGGGGCGAGCAGCCCTCGCAGAGAGGTGAGCGATGAGGGGCGAGCAGCCCTCGCAGAGAGGTGAGCGATGAGGGGGAGCCTCGCAGAGAGGGTGAGCGATGAGGGGGCGAGCAGCCCTCGCAGAGAGGTGAGCGATGAGGGGCGAGCAGCCCTCGCAGAGAGGTGAGCGATGAGGGGCGAGCAGTGCAGGGGGGGGGGGGGGAGTCGCAGAGAGGTGAGCGATGAGGGGCGAGCAGCCCTCGCAGAGAGGTGAGCGATGAGGGGCGAGCAGCCCTCGCAGAGAGGTGAGCGATGAGGGGCGAGCAGCCCTCGCAGAGAGGTGAGCGATGAGGGGCGAGCAGCCCTCGCAGAGAGGTGAGCGATGAGGGGCGAGCAGCCCTCGCAGAGAGGTGAGCGATGAGGGGCGAGCAGCCCTCGCAGAGAGGTGAGCGATGAGGGGCGAGCAGCCCTCGCAGAGAGGTGAGCGATGAGGGGCGAGCAGCCCTCGCAGAGAGGTGAGCGATGAGGGGCGAGCAGCCCTCGCAGAGAGGTGAGCGATGAGGGGCGAGCAGCCCTCGCAGAGAGGTGAGCGATGAGGGGCGAGCAGCCCTCGAGAGGTGAGCGATGAGGGCGAGAGCTGCAGAGAGGTGAGCGATGAGGGGCGAGCAGCCCTCGCAGAGAGGTGAGCGATGAGGAGCGAGCAGCCCTCGCAGAGAGGTGAGCGATGAGGGGCGAGCAGCCCTCGCAGAGAGGTGAGCGATGAGGGGCGAGCAGCCCTCGCAGAGAGGTGAGCGATGAGGAGCGAGCAGCCCTCCCAGAGAGGTGAGCGATGAGGGGCGAGCAGCCCTCGCAGAGAGGTGAGCGATGAGGGGCGAGCAGCCCTCGCAGAGAGGTGAGCGATGAGGGGCGAGCAGCCCTCGCAGAGAGGTGAGCGATGAGGGGCGAGCAGCCCTCGCAGAGAGGTGAGCGATGAGGGGCGAGCAGCCCTCGCAGAGAGGTGAGCGATGAGGGGCGAGCAGCCCTCCCAGAGAGGTGAGCGATGAGGGGCGAGCAGCCCTCGCAGAGAGGTGAGCGATGAGGGGCGAGCAGCCCTCGCAGAGAGGTGAGCGATGAGGGGCGAGCAGCCCTCACAGAGAGGTGAGCGAGAGGGGCGAGCAGCCCTGGCAGAGAGGTGAGCGATGAGGGGCGAGCAGCCCTCGCAGAGAGGTGAGGGATGAGGGGCGAGCAGCCCTCGCAGAGAGGTGAGCGATGAGGGGCGAGCAGCCCTCGCAGAGAGGTGAGCGATGAGGGGCGAGCAGCCCTCGCAGAGAGGTGAGCGATGAGGGGCGAGCAGCCCTCGCAGAGAGGTGAGCGATGAGGGGCGAGCAGCCCTCGCAGAGAGGTGAGCGATGAGGGGCGAGCAGCCCTCGCAGAGAGGTGAGCGATGAGGGGCGAGCAGCCCTCGCAGAGAGGTGAGCGATGAGGGGCGAGCAGCCCTCACAGAGAGGTGAGCGATGAGGGGCGAGCAGCCCTCGCAGAGAGGTGAGCGATGAGGGGCGAGCAGCCCTCGCAGATCGAGCGCGAGAGGTGAGCGATGAGGGGCGAGCAGCCCTCCAGAGAGGTGAGCGATGAGGGGCGAGCAGCCCTCGCAGAGAGGTGAGCGATGAGGGGCGAGCAGCCCGCAGAGAGGTGAGCGATGAGGGGCGAGCAGCCCTCGCAGAGAGGTGAGCGATGAGGGGCGAGCAGCCCTCACAGAGAGGTGAGCGATGAGGGGCGAGCAGCCCTGGCAGAGAGGTGAGCGATGAGGGGCGAGCAGCCCTGGCAGAGAGGTGAGCGATGAGGGGCGAGCAGCCCTCGCAGAGAGGTGAGCGATGAGGGGCGAGCAGCCCTCGCAGAGAGGTGAGCGATGAGGGGCGAGCAGCCCTCGCAGAGAGGTGAGCGATGAGGGGCGAGCAGCCCTCACAGAGAGGTGAGCGATGAGGGGCGAGCAGCCCTCGCAGAGAGGTGAGCGATGAGGGGCGAGCAGCCCTCGCAGAGAGGTGAGCGATGAGGGGCGAGCAGCCTCCAGAGAGGTGAGGGCGAGCAGCCTCGCAGAGAGGTGAGCGATGAGGGGCGAGCAGCCCTCGCAGAGAGGTGAGCGATGAGGGCGAGCAGCCCTCGCAGAGAGGTGAGCGATGAGGGGCGAGCAGCCCTCGCAGAGAGGTGAGCGATGAGGGGCGAGCAGCCCTCGCAGAGAGGTGAGCGATGAGGGCGAGCAGCCCTCGCAGAGAGGTGAGCGATGAGGGGCGAGCAGCCCTCGCAGAGAGGTGAGCGATGAGGGGCGAGCAGCCCTCGCAGAGAGGTGAGCGATGAGGGGCGAGCAGCCCTCGCAGAGAGGTGAGCGATGAGGGGCGAGCAGCCCTCGCAGAGAGGTGAGCGATGAGGGGCGAGCAGCCCTCGCAGAGAGGTGAGCGATGAGGGGCGAGCAGCCCTCGCAGAGAGGTGAGCGATGAGGGGCGAGCAGCCCTCGCAGAGAGGTGAGCGATGAGGGGCGAGCAGCCCTCGCAGAGAGGTGAGCGATGAGGGGCGAGCAGCCCTCGCAGAGAGGTGAGCAATGAGGGGCGAGCAGCCCTCGCAGAGAGGTGAGCGATGAGGGGCGAGCAGCCCTCGCAGAGAGGTGAGCGATGAGGGGCGAGCAGCCCTCGCAGAGAGGAGATGAGCGATGAGAGGTGGCGAGCAGCCCTCGCAGAGAGGTGAGCGATGAGGGGCGAGCAGCCTCCCAGAGAGGTGAGCGATGAGGGGCGAGCAGCCCTCGCAGAGAGGTGAGCGATGAGGGGCGAGCAGCCCTCGGAGGTGAGCGATGGGGCGAGCAGCCCTCGCAGAGAGGTGAGCGATGAGGGGCGAGCAGCCCTCCAGAGAGGTGAGCGATGAGGGGCGAGCAGCCCTGGCAGAGAGGTGAGCGATGAGGGGCGAGCAGCCCTCGCAGAGAGGTGAGCGATGAGGGGCGAGCAGCCCTCGCAGAGAGGTGAGCGATGAGGGGCGAGCAGCCCTCGCAGAGAGGTGAGCGATGAGGGGCGAGCAGCCCTCGCAGAGAGGTGAGCGATGAGGGGCGAGCAGCCCTCGCAGAGAGGTGGGGTGAGGGGCGAGCGCCCGAGAGAGGTGAGCGATGAGGGGCGAGCAGCCCTCGCAGAGAGGTGAGCGATGAGGGGCGAGCTGGAGAGGTGAGCGAGCCAGCCCTCGCAGAGAGGTGAGCGATGAGGGGCGAGCAGCCCTCCAGAGAGGTGAGCGATGAGGGCGAGCAGCCCTCGCAGAGAGGTGAGCGATGAGGGCGAGCAGCCCTCACAGAGAGGTGAGCGATGAGGGGCGAGCAGCCCTCGCAGAGAGGTGAGCGATGAGGGGCGAGCAGCCCTCGCAGAGAGGTGAGCGATGAGGGGCGAGCAGCCCTCGCAGAGAGGTGAGGCGAGCTGAGAGGTGCGAGGGGCGAGCAGCCCTCGCAGAGAGGTGAGCGATGAGGGGCGAGCAGCCCTCGCAGAGAGGTGAGCGATGAGGGGCGAGCAGCCCTCGCAGAGAGGTGAGCGATGAGGGAGCAGGGAGGGGGCGTGAGGGGCGAGCAGCCCTCGCAGAGAGGTGAGCGATGAGGGGCGAGCAGCCCTCGCAGAGAGGTGAGCGATGAGGGGCGAGCAGCCCTCGCAGAGAGGTGAGCGATGAGGGGCGAGCAGCCCTCCAGAGAGGTGAGCGATGAGGGGCGAGCAGCCTCGCAGAGAGGTGAGCGATGAGGGGCGAGCAGCCCTCGCAGAGAGGTGAGCGATGAGGGGCGAGCAGCCCTCGCAGAGAGGTGAGCGATGAGGGGCGAGCAGCCCTCGCAGAGAGGTGAGCGATGAGGGGCGAGCAGCCCTCCAGAGAGGTGAGCGATGAGGGGCGAGCAGCCCTCGCAGAGAGGTGAGCGATGAGGGGCGAGCAGCCCTCGCAGAGAGGTGAGCGATGAGGGGCGAGCAGCCCTCGCAGAGAGGTGAGCGATGAGGGGCGAGCAGCCCTCGCAGAGAGGTGAGCGATGAGGGGCGAGCAGCCTCCGCAGAGAGGTGAGCGATGAGGGGCGAGCAGCCCTCCCAAGAGAGGTGAGCGATGAGGGGCGAGCAGCCCTCGGCAGAGAGAGGTGAGCGATGAGGGGCGAGCAGCCCTCGCAGAGAGGTGAGCGATGAGGGCGAGCAGCCCCGAGAGAGGTGAGCGATGAGGGGCGAGCAGCCCTCGCAGAGAGGTGAGCGATGAGGGGCGAGCAGCCCTCGCAGAGAGGTGAGCGATGAGGGGCGAGCAGCCCTGAGAGGGAGGAGAGGGCGAGCAGCCCTCACAGAGAGGGAGCGATGAGGGGCGAGCAGCCCTCGCAGAGAGGTGAGCGATGAGGGCGAGCAGCCTCGCAGAGAGGTGAGCGATGAGGGGCGAGCAGCCCTCCCAGAGAGGTGAGCGATGAGGGGCGAGCAGCCCTCGCAGAGAGGTGAGCGATGAGGGCGAGCAGCCCTCGCAGAGAGGTGAGCGATGAGGGGCGAGCAGCCTCCAGAGAGGTGAGCGATGAGGGCGAGCAGCTCGCAGAGAGGTGAGCGATGAGGGGGCGAGCAGCCCTCGCAGAGAGGTGAGCGATGAGGGGCGAGCAGCCCTCGCAGAGAGGTGAGCGATGAGGGGCGAGCAGCCCTGGCAGAGAGGTGAGCGATGAGGGGCGAGCAGCCCTCGCAGAGAGGTGAGCGATGAGGGGCGAGCAGCCCTCGCAGAGAGGTGAGCGATGAGGGGCGAGCAGCCCTCGCAGAGAGGTGAGCGATGAGGGGCGAGCAGCCCTGGCAGAGAGGTGAGCGATGAGGGCGAGCAGCCCTCGCAGAGAGGTGAGCGATG